GTGAGAGCTACATGTCAAAGACCCATTAATACTGAAAGCTGTAAACATATAGTGGAATTCATCTTCCCGACACAGAGTAATTCAACATGCTAATCATTTATCTCCCAGGGACGCCTTTTCTAACTCCACCCAACCCTGCAGGACACTTAATATCTCATACAGACACTGAGACATGAAGAAAAGGCAGAGTGGGAGAATCATGTTGTAACAGAAGGGAAGGATCTAATGTGGGAATGAAGACAACCTGCAGACAATGATCCAATTGAAGCGCTTTACTTAGAAAACTGTGTAAGCCAACGAGCCGTGTTTACATAGTTCTAATCATGCAGGCATGTTCGGAGGCTCATACATGAAGTAAGCCGGTGACATGAACATGTACACATTACTGACTCTTCTCTGTTTGCCCCTGATTACATGTGTCAACACCATGGCAACCGTAATGCTTAATTGTTGTTTACAAGGCGGGATGGCCTCTGTCATGAGGTGCAGCGATGAATCTGTTACTGCAGTGATGCAAGCATGATGCGAGCATGAACGCGTTAATTTTACCTACTTTTCCAACTAGTCACACTGTGGAACTCTTGTGTGATGCAAATATTCATTTACAGCCTTTAAAGTTAAATTCTTTCCATCTGTGACGGTATCTATGTGGTACAAATTAAGCAATCACTGCGTAATTAAGTAATTCTTTTGAGTCAGACCTTACTCTCTGAGATGCTTATATCATCACTGCCAATCATCTTACCACATTTCTGTAATGGAAACCACACAGTGGAGGACTGAGTTCTGATTAGATTGGATATAATTAGGTCACAGGAGTTTGAGATAATGAAAGTCAGAGTTGCTTCACTGTCGTCCCGCGTGTTTGGGGTCCTGTGGGACTGAAACAGGCCTGTTAAACTTTATTAGAGTGAACAGGCTTCCTGAGTCTACAGCACACTGGGCCTGGGAGAGAGACCCACAAACAGAGACCATAAACACAACAACAACAGCCTATTGTCTTTGCGAGTGGAAGAGTGAATGGATGACAGGATTGACGAATGAATGAATGGTCTGTTCTCTGTTGCTCTCATGGACGGAGATCAGTGTTGGGCAGAAAAGCATTAGTTAGAAACACGTTCAAGTAATGTCATTACTTTAACCTCTCAGAAACAAGTGGGTTAAGGGATTAGAAGCTTAAATTCATAAATACATTATAGCTACTAATCCCAGTAACAATCCATTACTTCTTCTGTCGTAGAAAGTGAGAGATACTTGAATTAAACTTAATGGATCAAAATCATATTAATGCGGTTCAAGAGAAGGATGCAATAACATTCATTAAATGGACCTTCAGACTGGCATCACTCACTAACCGAGTTACACTCAGTAATAAAGGAAATCTTTAACCGCTGATTTAGTTACACAGCTAGTTTTACTTAAAGTCTGATGGTTTGGACTCCTAGAAAGACACCACAAGGGTTAAGTTAGTTTAGACAGGACACTTTATCAGATTTAACCATTAATTTCAGAATGACATGCATTTGTGTTTGGCGGTGACTCTGCAAGCATGACACAGACAGTCCATGAGATCGCAAACCTCCAAACCTGCTCTCCCGAAGGGAATAGATGAGCAGTCACCTTGAAATAAAATGGAATTGAATACTTTAGCCTATGTGTGGTGACAAGCTTGTGGCATTTCCTTTGAATTATTGCAAGTATGCACACCCTTCACATCTGGATGCAGGGGTTCAGCAGCATTCCTAATGCACATAGATGAACATCTGGCAAGGCACTGTAATGGTGACTTGTTACAAAGGAAATACACTATGTGAGTCGTGAGACTATGGCAGATTATAAGTGGCGTCATGTCTGACGCATTACCTTTGAATTTTTGCAAGCATGCATGATCCTTATAAACTGACATGAAACAATTATATGTAGCTATCACAGATTATATGTAATATGAACTATTTGTGGCCTTTAAACTCTGTACACTATGGATGATGAGTGGAAGAAATGGGTTGTGTAGCTTAGGGAAGAGACCATGGTGTTGGCATGGGATGTGGAAGCAAGCAGACCAAGGCCTGGACAGGGCCTTCCCAGAGTCTGTGTTGAACAGAGGCTCGTTTCCGCTTGCATTGGTTAACAATCATCAAATCATAGAAGAGAAGGAACGGAAACCATATGAGCTCTCGCAATAAAGATTTATATAATTATTACCCATCTTTGAAAGTCTAAGGTTAATGGACTGCTTATGCTTATCTTAAGAGGAGACAGATATAGTGAGGTCATGCAAGGAACAGAATTTCTCAGTGCGTGAAATGAACTCCCCACAATGAACTCCCTATAAGAAACACCCTAAAACACAAGGAGGACTGTTATAAGAGGGTATCTACATATAGACTAAGCACCTGGGGCCTCATTTATCATCAGTGCGTAGAAAAGGCTCTAAATTCTGTTGTACGCATGAAATTTAAAGTATTTTCCGGAGAAAATACGCTTAGAAGCCCAGGTGGATGACCAGGAAAACAAGTCTTGGCGTCAAAACATCAGAGTGGTGGGACTCCCAGAAAAACTTGAGAGTGGCAACCCTATGTTTTTTATGGAATCTGTTCTTACTTAAGTTTTTGGAGAAGACAGTTTTCCCCGCAGGTTGATCATGCACACCGCACTCTGCGCCCGCCGCCATCACCTAACGCACCACCCAGAGCCATGATTGTCCACCTGCACCAATATAAGACGAGGGAACTGATATTAAAGTTATCCTACGAGCAATCGGGCCAGCTTACCTGCAGAGGGAACAAGGTCAGTTTCTTTCCTGATCTCAGCGTGGACTTGCTGCGGAGGAGAGCTGAATTTAATCTGGTAAAGAAGTTACTGCACCAGGCCAGTGTGAAGTCTTCTCTCGCCCATCCTGCTACACTCCGCTTCTCTTTCAATGGATCCAGACAAGAGTTCAAGTCTCCAGAGGCCTTTGTTACCCATCACATTCTGCCTGTAGCACCATCCCACATGGCAGACACTGAGCCTGCAGATGCTGCAGGTGCATCTCCAATGAATGAGTGAGTAAAGGAGTTGTCAGCCACCTGGTCGATATGCATTTTTCTAAAATTCCCTGTTGGAGTTGGAGTTGATGTGTTCTCCTATTGAGAGTGTTTATTCTGATTGTTTTCACACAGATTGTTAAGAGAAACTCCTAATATGTGTAGTGTGACCCAGAATGCGACAGATGAAGCGGGAGTGGTGACAAAAAAGGTTTAGAAACAGTGACCACCGAGCTTGCCTGGGATTAAGCCTCCGGGCCGCACGTAAGTATGCTAAATTTTTATGATCTGTCCAGATTATGAAAGAGTGCTTAACCCCCTCAAGCCAATGTCTCCACTCCTGGAGCACGAGAACGACTGCCAACAATTCTCGGTTTCCCACATCATAGTTCTTCTCCGCCAGGGACAGCTGTCTGGAGAAGAAGGCACACGGGTGAAGATCCTGTGTGGCTGGATCCCGCTGTGATAACACAGCACCCACACCAACATCCGAGGTGTCGACCTCCACCACAAATGGTAGCTCCGGATTCGGGTGTCGAAGGATGGGGGCGCTGGTGAACAGGTCTTTTAATTGTAGAGAGGCCGCCTCTGCCTCAGGTGTCCACCTAAAAGGAGACTTCACAGACATCAGACTGGTTAAAGGGGCTGCAACCTTACTATAATCTCGAATGAATCAATGATAAAAATGAGCAAACCCGAGAAACCTCTGTAGTTCCTTCCGGTTGGTTGGCTGGGGCCACTCTTGAACAGCCTGAATCTTAACAGGGTCCTGGTTTAAGCTGACCTTGAGCAATAATGTAGCCCAAGAACCTCACAGAAGGCACATGAAACTCACATTTCTCATTTTTCACAAACAGATGATTCTCCAGAAGCCACTGTAACACCAATCTGAAATGCTGCTTATGTTCCTCGAGAGAACTTGAAAAGATGAGAATATCGTCCAGGTAAATAAACACAAAATGGTTAAGCCTATCTCAGAATAGGTCGTTCATCATGGCCTGAAAAACGGCCGGGGCATTAGTAAGACCAAATGGCATGACCAGATACTCAAAAGTGTCCCAGGGGAGTATTAAAGGCCATCTTCCACTCATCCCCCTCTCTGATCCGGATCAAATGAGAGGCATTCCTTAAATCCAACTTCGTAAACACTTGAGCATGACATAAAGGTTCAAACGATGGGTCAATCAGAGGAAGTGGAGTCTTATTTTTAACTGTGATTTCATTAACTCCGCAAAAGTCAATACATGGTCTGAGAGTCGTGTCTTTCTTACTCACAAAGAAAAAAACGGAACGAATCAGACTGGCTGCCAGTAAGTCATTGATGTAGATCTCCATGGCCTCCTTCTCCGGCCTAGATAGATTATACAACCTACTGGTAGAGAGAGGGCCTCCAGGTAACAGGTCGACTGCACCATCGTAGGGGCGATGAGGAGGAAGGGTCTGTGCCAGGTCCTTGCTGAAAACAGAAGCTAAATCATGGTAACAGTTAGGAACAGTTGAGAGATCTGGTGGAGGTGGTGGTGGTTTGGAGATGTGAGAACTAGGTGTGGCTGCTTTGAGGCAACTAGCGTGGCATGCAACACTCCAACTTACAATCGAGGAAGACTTCCAATCGAAATGAGGGTTATGATGAACCAACCAGGGAATACCTAATACCAGAGGGGAGTAGGGTGATGGAATTATCAGAAAGGATATAGTATCACTATGATTGCCTGAAATAGCTAACTTGACTAGTTTGGTTCGATGAGTGATTCAGGTGATGAGACGGCCATCCAAGGCATTTGCATCCTTAGGCATCTCCAGGAGCTCGAGAGGAATCCGAGCTAAATATTTTCCCCTTCACAGAGGGACGAGGCAGGGGTGCCCCCTTTCCCTGTTACTGTTCGACCTGGTTCTGTTTGGAGATGGCTCCTAATTTACAGGAAGTGGACCCAATAAAGGCGACAAGGGAGGTGGGTGGTAAAAAGAGGGTTTTTAAACAGGGATGGAGTGAGGACACCAAGGAAGCAGGAGAGGGAAGTGCCGGTGCACGCTGGACTGGCGCTCCAGTGCATGGGGGGCGTGGCCAATCTACCGCTTGTAGGGGAGTGAATCCTCTGGCGCCGCATCACGGGGAGAAGCCAGCTTAAAAGGAGCACTGATTGCGATGCGGGACAGGTGTGGTGGATAACAAGCGAGCGAGTCCTCCTCAACCATGGCCCCGCCCAGCCTGAAAATGCAGAGCAAACTTAAAACACACAGGAAATCCAAATACCAAAACAAAGGCTCGAAACTAGAACCCCAACAGGTTCTTGAGCCCCTTGCTATCTCACTGCAACAGTGCCACTCATTTGAGGGGATAATCCACGGAAATACTGTACATAAAGTGCCATTATATGCTGATGATCTTCTCCTGTTTGTTAGTGATCCCATCTCATCAGTACCACAAGTTTTGTCTAAACTACGCCAATTTGGGAGAGTGTCTGGTTATAAATTAAATCTTGGAAAGAGTGAATTGTACCCTGTCAACATTGCAGCTCAATGGTTGCCCCTGTCTGCGTTCCCCTTCAGGAGAACTCTCATTTTAAATACCTTGGTGTAGTGGTGCCTAGATCCTTCAAAGTGTTTTCTTAAATTCAACCTAATGCCCCTGATTGAGAAATGCAAACAGGACCTAGAATGATAGTGCACCCTACCCTTATCAATGGCAGGTCGCATTAATTTAATTAAAATGAATATAGTTCCTAGATTTCTATATCTATTCCAGCATACTCCTGCATTTATCCCAAAGAAACAATTTGCAGTTATTGACAAAATTTTTTCAAAGTTTGTCTGGAACAACAAACACCCACGCATCATCAGACACTTTCTGGAGAGGCATAAGGGAAAAGGAGGAATGGCCATACCTAATCTTATGCATTACTATTGGGCATGTGATATTCAAAAAGTGATATTTTGGGTCCAGGGTTGCTCTGAAGGTATTGTGCCAGAATCGGTTGCAATGGAGTCCCATAACTTTCCTACTCACTCTTTAGCTTCATCAGCTATTCAAATCTTGGCAGCAGCCTCACCGGAAATCCTGTCTCATCCAATACACTTAAAATCTGGTAACAATTCAGGAACCATTTTGGTTTGCAAAGTCCCTCTTTAATGGCTCCTATTATGGCTAACCATCTCTTCACGGCAGCTATGATTGACAAAGCCTTCTGTGCCTGGCATGTAAATGGGATACATTTCATTAAAGATCTTTTTGTGGACGTTGTACTTGCATCTTTTGGACAGCTGGTTACGAAATGCAAGTTACCTTATGCTCACTTTTTTTGATATTTGCAGCTGAGGGATTTTGTCAAAAAACAATATAACTCCTTCCCCAAGAAGAGACATTGTTGTCTCTTGACGCTGATACAAAGGGAACATTTTATCAGATTTATGAAACTATTGGGGAGTTAAACCCCCGGGACGCAATGGGAACAGGACCTTGGTGCCTCTTTTTCAGACAGAACCTGGGATGACATTCTTAAAGAAACACATGCCTCATCCCCTTGTACCAGACACGGGCTCACACAATTTAAGATTCTGCATCGTGTTCACTATACAAAAGCTAAACTAGCCAAAATGTACCCAAATTTGGACCCAACCTGCGATAAATGTAAAATAGCCTCGGCTACAGTAACTCACATGTTTTGGTCATGCCCCTGTTTACATTTATTCTGGAGCTCAGTTTTCAGATCTCTGAATGAAGCCTATAGCGTACAGGTCAAGCCAGACTCTGACAGCAATTTTTAGTGTAAAACCAGAGAATGCTAGTTGGCCAGGAAATGTTTCAAAGGCCATCGCCTTTTGTTGCCTGTTAGCTCACCGTCTCATCCTTTTTAACTGGCGGAATTCTAAACCCCCTTCCCATGCCAGGTGGTTAAAGGATGTCATGTTCCATCGTAAACGAGAAAAGATCAAATTTAGTGTGAGAGGAAGGAAAGCAGAGTTCAGGAAAATGTGGAGCCCGTTTATATGCTACTTTTCTACAGTTACTGGGTTAACGAACTGGGATGACTTCTACGTAAAACGTAGGAATAGATGGGACAGCAGGTGTGTGTGTGTTTGTTTGTTTTTTAATTGTTTGTTTTGATTTGCTTTGTTTGTCTGTTTTGTTTTTGGTTTTCTTTCTTTCATGCAATTCTTTTCATTTCTTATTGACACTGCTATTCCAGCAAATTGTGGACTGTGGTGGGTAGTTGTTGTATTGTGCCGATCTGTTTATTTTAATTGTAAGTGTACCATTATACAAAAAAATCTATAAATAAATGTAAAAAGTGCTTTCAAGTGCATACAATTTTTAAAAAAAAAATGTAATTATATATATATATATGTGTGTGTGTGTGTGAACAAATAGATAGACAAAGCAATAAAAAGTGGTTTTACAAAAAACAAAACAAAACAAAAAAACAGGCCAAACGTGAATTCGTGTTCGATGCACAAATTGAAAAATCTGAACTGTAGAGATTCTTTGGTGACGTGAAGAACATGATTCATTCATTCTTTTGCAACTACATTGTGAATATTGATTGATTTACTCACCGGAGACAGATGGGCAGGTGCTCTGCAGCTGGGATAGAACGCCTGTATCCTGGTACCGATCCTCTCCAACAGGGTCCAGGTCAACCGAAAATAGCGCTGGAAGCAGCCGTCATCTGGGCGCAGCTCCTGGAGAAGGTGGTGGAATTCCCTGAGCTGTGCGTCTCTGGAGGATCCGATGGCATCTGGATGAATGATGCAAATCCAGACATGAATCTCGCCGCGTTAAACGCGCGAATGATGCTAATTACTCGCACAAATGAAGGGAGTGAACTCAGTGCATACAGGCGTCCAAATACACGCAAATAACGCGATAAATTTGCATCTGGTGTGACTGCAGCATTACTGGATTTTAAAATTGGCTGAAGAGGATGAAGTGGATTTTTTCAGAGTAACGGCGCTCCGGTCAACATGCGGGATTTAGGACACGTGATCATCAACTTCTGCAAGACTGATCTGCTTTGGTTTGAACGCTGCAATCCTACTTTAAAGACGGATAGACCCGCCCGGATAGGATCACGGTCAGAAGGTAAGAATAAATCTCCAAACACTTAGTTTTTAACCTGCATGATTGATCTCTGAAGATGAGATGAACAGTAGCAATGATTTGAGAATCTGTAGAGGCTGGTAGAGCAGATTGAATGAATGAACGCTGCCTCGGTTATAAAGCTGGTTAGTGAGTGGACTGGAGTTCAGTAGTTACAGATCGGATTGCTACATGACTCTGTCCGAACTATCCCAACGTTCCATTCAATGCTGCATAGTCAGTAAATCCCACCAGGGCTTCCTGCTTATAAACCAAGTTTTGTTTTCAATTTGTACACACTAAAGAGATGCAAATTTAAAGTTTAAAGCCACCTGTTGATGTTTTTTTTGCACCTGAAATTTCAGGGAGCAAAGTGCAATTACTGATAGATTATAGCTCTCAAGTATCACGCCCAACACTGATGGTTAAAAAGGTGATGGATAGATTTATTATAAGAGTTAATACGTTTGATCTTTGCATTTTTCAACAGCTTCACTGCACAACTGTTGCTAAGGAACTTGAGATTACATTCCAGCTGGCTTTTCACTATTTGATGGTGACAGTACACACTTAACATTGATCAAGTATTGGATTTCAAGAGAGGCCACCACAAGTGAACACTTAAAAAGGATTTCATTTACTGTTATCATAGATAGGTGCAATCAGCTCGGTAGTTTGCTGTAAGTGGAGCGCTGCGATTGTCCAATTAAAAGGAAAGTGTTCAAATTTACCTTCTCAATATATTTCAACATTTTCATGTCAAATAGTAAAATAGTTGACCTCAACATTTTTACAAAAGAAAAAATACTGTAGCTCTTTATTATAATACTGCCTCTTCTCTCCACGTAGCTCCCTAGCAACCCAGAATGAGTCCATGGCAAAATAAAGCTGTATAATTTCCACAGCTATCTTTAGCAAAGAACAATGAATTAAAACAAATCCAAAACATTTCTAGCTTCCCTCCTCCTCAAAGATCCACTATAATGAAATGAGCCAGAGTCGAAGAGTGTCTTTTGTCTTCATTTATTTACAGTTGTTAAACAGAATTGAAAACATTATCTAGCTTTATAGCTTTACCTCCAATATATGCGAAGCTGTGACTCAGTCCACAGTGTGCTTTTATCAGTCTGTATCTTTTACAGTCGCACCAAGCCATTGGTCCTGTCAGTGTTTTTGGTGTCTGAAGCAGTTAGTTGAAGAGAGAGATCTCTCTGACTGGCTGTTTTCATGTTATGTAAATCAGAGATTTCAACCTGTTGCAGCAGGCTCGACTAATTTCTACGTCCTTCACCTTTTTCACACAGACCGGAGTACTTCAAAAGTTCTCGGCCTCATGAGAAAACTTGACAGGAGAAAGATTGTTCTTGCATTATTTCTCAACACGGTCTCCTTTAACTTAAAAACACTTAGTCCACCAATGTTCAAGCTTCGCTATCCCTTCGCGGAAGAAGGTCACATCTTGAGCCTCCAGATTCTCCTCAGCAGCATAAATGACTTCGTCGTCACTCTGAAAATGGCGACTGTGTAAGTGAGATTTTAGTTATTGGAACAGATAGAACTCAGGCGGTGGCATGTTCGAGTGAGCAAAGATAAGGGCTGACAGTTGAAAGTCACGTTTAGCTGCTTCTGCCACCTGTGCTGTGTGGATGGACACATTGTCTCAAAGTGACAGCACGCCAAAGAGAAGCTTTCCTCTCCTTTTTTCTTTGATTGCTTCAAACATTTGAGTTTTGTGAACAGCGATATAAAGCTTTATAGGACACAGTTGTGCCCCAAAATGGGAGTTCCGCCCCCCTGTTTCTGTGTGAGGCCGAGAAGTTTTCAAGCACTCTTGTATTCTCACAACTGGTTCAACCAAGAACGTCAACAAGTCATTTCATTAAGTACCCTAGAACAACAATGTTAAAGCCCTCAAGCAAATATACTGTAGTGTAGTAATTACTACTCTTGTCATTCAGGGACAAAACGTGAATAAAGTCAAGTGATGTTCTTCTTGAACAACAAAGTCGGCATTGGCAATAGTTGAAACAAACAAAACAATTCCGTCCTGCAGATACAGTGTTGGGACAATGCGGCTTGTTTGTTTGGTTTGTGTATCTGTCATTTTCTTTTTTTAATTTATTGTGAATTCTTACCTCTACAGACACCATTTAGTGATATGAAGCTGAATAATGTGCTGTGTGTACATGGCCTGCACCTTGTTGGGTTCGTTATCACATTTGCAAAACAGCGTCTTTATCTATATGATGACACACTCCAGTCGACATAAAACATACATTTCCACCTCAAACGGACTAAAAGAATGAAATTATCTGTCACAAACAGCTGCTGTTACTTTACTAGAAGCACATTCACGGTGACATGCAGAGCACCAGCGAACAGTGATTCATCAGGACGAGTGCGTGGTAATAAAACGCCCATCGGGGTCTGGCTCGCAGCGCCGGTGCTGATGTGGGTTGTAACAACATCGCTGTGTGATCACTGTCCTGATTAGCTGATGCATCTATCACTGAGTGTTTAGACAGGACCAACGGCTCCGCTGACGGACATGAGGTCACTCCCCTGAGCAGGTGCTGAAGGGCTGGGAACATGGACGACACACATTACTGTTAGTGCAAATCACCGCTGCATGAATACAATTACACAAAGTTGTAATCAGAGAATCGTTTATTTGAGAACGTGATGGATGATAAACAGTCATCGTACTGCCCATGCTTTTTTTTTTTTTTTTTTGGAGTTTCCGTCGATGAAGTTTCTGTAGGTGTTGTCTCATCGCTCAGTCAGGCTGTCTGTGCCCAGCACGCAATATTCGTCATACTCACCGTTTTATTTCACATCATAACTTATTTGTGTGATGTAGGATAAAAAAACAACCAAGTCATGGGCGTGTGTTTTTGAAATACTGCTGTTTGCATTCATGTTTGCTCATAAGGGAATAGAAAACATCTTCATTGTCTTGAGAATAATAAAACATACATTCGCTCTCCTTTATCCCTGTTCATATTCTCTCAGAAGACTTTTACACTCCCTGTGCGTCTCTGCGTATCGCACTAATCATTGTGATCGCAGCAGCAGCAGGTGGAGATTTGTGTGTCTGCAGCCTTTTGGAGTTGATGAGTCTCCAGAGCCTCAGACTGATGGCTCCACTCACTCTCCCTGCTCTGGGAATAATCATTCCCTGCGATTTGGGAATGTTGTGTCAGAGACATTACACTCTGTCTTTGCTAATTAATCATGGACATGGACTTGGAGTATTTGTGTGTTTTCCATGCACACCTCTGCACGTCCTTGCTCTTCAATCTGATAGACATGAAAGCTCTTTGCTCCTGATCCATGCAAGGCGGTATCGTTTTCTGCACAACCTGCGAGCAAAGTTTGTTTTTTGCCTCTCTCTCTTTCTGTCTTTTGTGTCTTTCTGTCTCCCCCATGTTTCTCTCTCTTAATTGTTTCCAGAGTGTTTGTTTGGAAATTTGTTGAGTTCTCCATCACACGCAACCAGGACTGCAGCCAAGGCATTCCCCCTCTGTAGACACAAACATACACACACACACGTACACACAGAAAATACCACATTAAATCCTTCAATTCTTCTCTTGTGATGTCTTCACGGTGTCACTGCATGGAGTGAGTGTACGCGTGAGTGTGTGTGTAGGTTGTGTGTGTTGCACATAGCCTGTTTGTTTTAGGAGCCTATATAAATGGGGTTATTAACACCCCCCCCACCCCCAATTCAGAATGTATGTAATTAGACAGGATTGTTATTGGAGACACACAATATTTGTGTTTCCATCACTTCAGAGGACGTTTACATTAATTTCCTTGAGTCTCGCCCCGACCCAAATATAATCACTACTTACAGAGCACTTACCATAAACTTAACCTAAACCAAAACTTAAACCTTCATACTAAAATTTAATAACTCATATTATGGGAACTCGTCCTTGAGAGGGAGATGGGCCCCCGCAATGTTACTCAAGTTTATGTCCCCACAACATGAGTAACACAACCACACACACACACACACACACACACACACACATTATAGACCCGATGTTTGTGTTTGTGTTGTCATGGCGATGCCACTTTGTAGGTCTTTGTGTCTCAGTAGTGAGAAAGGTGAGCGCGCCACCCTTCCCTTTCCTATTCTCACGCTGCTCTGCTTTAGCATTTCTGTTTTTTGTTGCCTCTCCTCCCCTCTTTATCTCTATTCTTACCTTTTCACTGCGTTTTCTCTCAGGAGCATCTCAGGAGACGTGTTCAAAGTCTGTCTCCCGCTCATCCTCCCGCAGCCGCACATAGACAAATATTAGGATTCCTTTCATTTGCATTCCTTACCAACTGTGCACATCTCTCATCAGGTTTCACTGAGGCAATAGGTCAATAGGTCACATCATACACTCTCAGCGGGAACTCAATTTCCCATCATCCACTTCACGCTGAGCCGAACCTGTCCTCACGCTGCGGTTGGGATAAAAGCTCTGGAGCGAGAGATGAGATTTGACAGATGAGAAAAGAGACATAAAGATATACTACGAGAGACATATGGATGTGGCGAGAGATATGAAGTGGGACACGGGGGGGTGAGGGTGGTGGTTGGAGGGCAGCGAGGGAGGGAGGAGAGTGAGGGAAGGGAGGGACTGTAAGGTGCTTTCCCAATTC